ATATTTACAATTTTACCCGATCGATTATTCGACCAAATAATACAATGATCGATAGTAAACGACTCGTAATTACAATTAATTACACTTACTTTTCACACTCAAACGTAAAAAACTAATCATCCACAGGTACATAACCTCAAATATCCCAGACACGCGCTCGTCCATCATACATCTCGATCAATCCAAACTTTCCACTATACTTGCAAAAACGAAACAAAAATCCTAAATTAAAACGATAATTTTAGTAATTCGATGATAAAAATTTACAATTAATTACCATTCCTCGAAAAACTGATCAAACTCGTGAACAAATAACCTCGAATCGGCTAAACAAGAGCTCGTTCGCACGCGTTGCGCGCGCATCCACGCAAGATAAAGGTCCGTACAAACTGTTTAATAACCACGGATATCTGGCGCTCGCGAGGGACACCGGTATCGAGCCGAAACGCGGATATCTTCGGTTCGTAGAGAGCGCGCGGGTAATTTAAGCTCGAAAGAGGGAAATTTATCGCGTTCGCGGTCGAAGATACTATTTTACGGCATTCCGTTTCCGGCGTTGCGCGCCGCGCGGTTTGCATTATGCGTGCGTTATCGTTTCACGTTTCTGAAACGCGAACTGCTTAGTTAACTCGCTATATAACGCGGCAGAGAGTGAGTTACGGCGAACCCCGTGGCTTCGTTTCCTAATACACGCGATCGCAGTCGTTTCTCCTATCCACCACCGGGATTCACGGCCCGCTCTTAATAACAAAAGTTTCGCGGTGTACGACGCCCTCCCCCTTTCCATCCCGCCTTGTAACCCCTACCACGTTCCTTTGCCACGGCCTCATCAACCAGAGGTATCATGTTACAGCTTACAGAAGATCCACCGCTTGTAACACGCTTCTGTTAAGCAACCACCCCCCTCCCTTCACCCGTTCTCGAGGACCTTCTATCTGGACCAGCGTGGCACCGATCCTTCGTATCCTTTCTTCTTACGTTTCGCGAAAGGTTCGAAGCTTCTCGCGGGAATGGCGCTCGATCGGGACGTCGTCGGTTCTGAAAAGGTTGATCTTGATAACGGATGCGAGGATTTACGAAGGATGATTTTTTGGAGGTTAGGTTTATTATTGAGGAAAATGTTTGGGAAATATGAAAGAAAGGGAATATAGAAATGGAATGGAATCGCGAAATTCTGGTGAAATTTATTAAACGTGTATATACTTAACATTGTAGAAAATTGTAGAAAATTGTATAAATTTTATATAGAGAAAGTGATTGAATTGAAAGTAATTGTGTTTCAACTAGGGGTTGAAAAAATATTTTACGAAATATCCCGAAAATGGTTAAATATCCTGTCTCATTTTGTATTGATAAATAATAGAATTTGTAATAAATTATTAATATTTAATTTGTTTCGTTATAATATTGATATAACGACAGATACAATAAAACTCTTTGCTGCTCTTTAGATTCAACACATAAAAGATACTTTAAAGCGTGCATAAAGAGACCACGAGAGATAAAAACGAGACTGGAGGAAACTCGTTCAAAGTAGGCGGCTCTTTGAACCCGTCTGATTGAGAAGAATACGATATTCATTATAATAATATTACAGGAAACGATATTTAAGTAATTTCCTGTTAAAATCACTTTTAATTTCATCGTACACTTAATGCATTGAACGAAATCTAATGTCACGTGCATTACAGAGAGGGTTCGAACGAGGGTGAGATTAAAAGCCATACTTTTAGTAATCGAATCTAAAACCTGCGGTCATTTCACAGTTTTCTTTTTGCATCGATGAAATTAACGAACGATAGTTTAGTTGAGAGCCTATAGCATCTATCGAATTTAAAATTTAAAAAAGAATTTTATTCCGTGAATGAGGGGGGGAGGGGGGACAATAAAATCGCAGAAAAATTAGAAATAAGAGGAAATCGTTTTCTTTGTATCGTAGAACGATGAAATAATTATTTCATATTTTTGAATCTGCCTCCCCCCTCTCCCAACCCTCTCCTCCTCCCCTTTATTCCTTTATTCACTTTCCATTTCAAAGTTTAACATTTACTCATAGATCGTAATTCACTTATGCTTTCAAAAAGTATATTTTAGACGAAGTTTTGCCCCATTAACATCTGGATCGCATTACGAAGTTATCGAGTCAATTTAACTTTCGAACCCGTTTGGTCTTCTCGTACTTTAATGCTTACAACTGTTACTAAAATTCGTTTGTTATTAGAATGAACTTTATCTCCAAGTTTCTCGTCCTAGTGTGTCCAATAAAATAAACTATTCGCCGCTATTGTCTGTTTCTAACAAAGTTCAAATGGAAGACTCGCTCACCATAAAAAAATTTGAGATCGCTATATAAATTACGTGATTGGTATAATGTGGAAACTTATCATTAACATCTATTCTTTTTTTTTTTTTTTTTTTTTTTTTTTTAATATATCATATCAAATAAGCAAGTGTAAGTACATATTAAATCTGGACTGCTATTATAGTTTATAGTTTACGACTTGTACTACGTAGATTTTAGATATTAACTAACAATTTTCTTCAAAAATTCTCCTTCTAGTGTAAAAAGTACGTTGTAAAAGTAGAAAGATTACAATGATTATAAATAAAAGTAAGCACGCGTTTATTAAATCTAATCTCGATGAAAGAATCCTTTTTCTAATATTAAACACATTTCCTAACTAAATTATTAATTATATACAATTAAATTTCAAAGAAAATATTCATTTCACGCACAATTTAATTTTCCAAAATTATTTCTCTAAAAATTTCCTTCGCGTAATACAACAACCGAGCAAGAAGAAAAAGAACATCAACTAATTGTTAGCGTTCCATTCCATCACCGTAACACGATTTTTATTCTCCACGAATTTCGTTTTTTCAACGAAAGATAATTCAACTTCAGAAAGAATTGAGAAAAATCGGGAAAGACCGATATTATATATATATATACACACACACACACACACACATCTAGCAACGCGCTCCATTCCAAAAAATTCCTTCGACGATCCATCCCCCTCCCCCTCTCCGAGAAAGAAGAAGAAAAAAAAAAAAGACAAGCGGGTCGAAACGAGCGGCGATCAGAGTTAATTAAGCGTCGCGGGGGAGGCGATTGAGGGGGGCGGGAAGATTTATCAGAGGTCCCAGTGGAGGCCTCGACGAGTGGCCGGGGCACACGGAATGAATTTCCGTGTAGGCTCGCGGTCGGTCGCGTCTACCCGCGTGCTGTCGCAGAAAATCTATTCGTCAGGACAAAAAATATTTACCAACAGCCCCGGGGTTGGCACGGGAGCATGGCGTGCATCCAATAACCGTTTCGCAAGGGACCGACCCTAGCCACCCGGTTCGAGAGACGGAAAGAGGAAGGGAGGGAGGGAGGCAGAGAGAGAGAGAGAGAGAGAGAGAGAGGGGAGGGGGGATCGTGGCCCGGTCGAGGTAGGAGGCAGAGCTCAGTTTTCAACTCGACGCCGTATAACAGCACATATCCATTTACTGCTTCAGAGGATTGTTTATAGCGTGCGTGTCATAGGTCAACGGTTTCTGCCCGCTCGAAAGGACCACACGCTCCCGTCCACTATTTATATACGTGGGTGTCGGCCCTCTCTTAGGCTCTCCTCTCTCTTGCGGCCGAGGCGTAAGGCCGAGGCGTAATTCAAAACCGTAAATTGTCCCCGTATCTATATCCGGCGGGGGACCCATCACACACTGAATTAACCGCGGCTACTTTATTTACGGCTCCCCTCCTCCCCGCCCCTTTCCTTCCACGGGGAAACGATGCCTCCGCTTTTCTTCCCGGATCTTTTTATTCCGGAGAGGGATTTCGGGGACAGAAAGGGAAAGAGGGGGGGAAGGAAGAGAGAGGGAGGATTATTGCTGCTGTGTCGAACCATAACCGAGAATGAATTGAATTAAATCATGATATCAATTAATTTGATATGGTTGAATTTTGGGGAAAGGAGGGAGAGAGGGGTAGGAGTAGTTTTAAGGAATTCAATTTTGACTTTAGTTTCGTGGGTGAATATACGATGGACATACGATATATATATATATTTTTCTACTCACTGGCCGTAAGTGGAATAAGTCAGACGTGGCAAGACGTCAAACTCGAGTGTTAATTTACCTCGATCCTCGATCAATCGTGCAATTATTTGACAGGAAATAGTTGATAGATATACCGAAGCAATAAAGCATCGGTTGTCGCGTTAAATTAAATTAGAGAAACGGATTCGGGCACAATGACAATACGGCGGAGTTTTGGAAGAGTTTTATAGCAGAGAGGTAAAAATAAAAATCGCGTGCGAATCGTTCGATCGGTTCGATGAAAAGATGTTCGGGCGCGATAATTGATCGGCTGTTGGAAGGGAGGGGGGGATAAAAACAGAAGAGATTTTCAATTTTCCCAGAGTTTTGAATTGACGTAAACGCGCGGCGCAAATATAAATCGCGAGGAATACGCTGAATGCGCGTGCACCAGAGTGATAATTAACACCGATAATGCGTATTATCGAAAAGTTTAAAGGTTTCGTACATTCGTGTGGCGGATTGTATTACATTGTATTTTCATTGTTCGCATGGATCTTTAAAAACGTGGATGTTTTTGGCCATTTAAGGAGAAGCTATACAGAGAGAGAGAGAGAGAGAGAGAGAGAAATATTTCGATAAGTTTACGTTTTAGAGACGGTAGAGATATTTTAATACGATTAGATCGAAACGATTCCATCAAATTTAAATGTAATTTATATATCTTTCGACGGAATATTATCGAAGGTAAGATCGATGAATGAAAAAGAAATTGCGACTTTTTACTTTTCGTTGGGAGGGGAAAAAAAGAGGAAGAAAGAGAAACTGGAGATAGAAGAACGTAGGTACGAGATAAAGGATGGGAACGAAAATAGAGAAAACGAAAGGCATACGGAGAGGGTTAGAAGAGATACAGAAGAGATTGCACGGTTGACTGATTACTTCACAACTCTCATAAAGATTTTCATTACACGAACCTGTTTATTAGGTATGCACGATGCGTCACGTTGCAGTAATGTTAATTTCTCATCGACGTCTTCGGATCATCGTATCGCAGCTACTGGATACTTTCTATTCGATTCCACACGAACGTTGCATCATTTCCTAGAGAAGAAAGAGAAGAATTACAGAAATTTCCTATACAAATTTTAGTTTATATTAGTTATAAATTTTCTCCAGAAACAGAGACAAATAATGCCGTGGTATTGAATCGTGAATGAAGTGAATGAAGTGAGACTCTCTTGAAAATTCTTGCCGAATTAATATCAAAAAAAAAAAAAAAAAGAAAAAAAAAAAGAAAAAAACAAAAAACAAAAAAATTATAATTATCGTATTCACGTCTTATTGTTTCCTCGCAAAGGAAAATCGTAACTGAAAGTACGTAATCGTAAAAATCACAAAAGGCTGAGAAAGAATAAAAAAAAAAAAAAATATTAAACGTACAAAAGAAGCGTTTAAGCGATATAATGCGAAATGGCGTGTATCGAAAAAAGAAAAAAAGAAAAAAAAGAAAAAAAAAAAAAAAAAAAAAAAGAAAATTTCTCATTATACAAACACAATGGTTAAGGCTTCGGTTAAGAGGAGGATGATAATAAAAAGAAGGAAAAATCGTGTGAGAGAATCTTGGAGAACACGTGATACCGTACACGTGATTGTACTCGTGCATGTTGGCAACACACATGAGGGCAGGCAACGTGCAATTTTGTTACATTCGCGAAGAAATTGTTACCTCGTCTGGTCATCGTTAGCAAGCACCACTTGCCGGTAGCGGATTGATCGTTCTATCAGTCTCTGGAAACTGGAAACGGAATTGCGATGGGGATAGCACGCATACCAAATCGGCCAAATTTTCATTATTCTGGAACATTTTACGATTGGCTGTTCGGATAAAAAATTTTCAGCATTTGCTTAAGGTACGTACGTGCACGCACGGAACAAGAGGAAAAGAGTTTTCTGGTCAAATTGATCCTGTTCTAACGATAAATTATATATTTATGCTTGTTTGATCAATGATTTGCGTTGTTCACGCGTTTATTAAAGATCAACAATAGGGCTTTTCTAAATTTTATGTTAACGTTACAGAATCGATTGATTAATCGTGACATCGAAGTGTTATTATTATTATTATTGTTATTATTATTATTATTATTATTATTACATTGTATTCGCTATTAATTATTATTAAAACGCGTAGTGAAATTGCCGGCGAAACACGAACCACTGTATTTAAACACTTTTCTCGTTTTGAAACATTCGTACCGCGACCGGATAATGTTATATTACAGAATAAACGGAAACTCGAACGCAACTTCAATTCTAATTATAGAATAATTAACTCACGCTCATTACATTTATATTAATGCAATTTGTCAAAGCACATTAAGCGCGTACACGCTTAAATTCTATACGTATACACGTGTCGCGAATTATATTATGTTAATTCTAGTTGTATTAACGTAAAATTACAAAGAAAAAAAAAAAAAAAAAAAAAAAAAAGAAAGAAAGAAAAAAAGAAATAATGAAACTTGAGAATTATTTTTCACGTCGAAAAGAAGAAAAAAAATTTGCAAGATAAAAATCGAGAAGAAAATAATCAATTTCTCAGATATTAATTTTAACTACGAAAATTCATTATCCCGATAATTTCTCAAAGTTTCGCAATTTTCTAAATTTCCTAGATTTGAAAATTTTGTCCCTTGAAAGGAGATTAAAACCTCGTTCAATCACGTTCAATCACGAAAATCGCGAAAATACCAATTCACGCGATATCCCCTCGACATCTAAATATCCAAACAACCTATCCATCCAATTATCCACGCAAAAAGGAAAAAACCGTTCGATCACAGAAAGAACTACGGCAAAAACAATTTAATCTCCAGTTTCAGGAAGTCGGTGAGTGAGTGTACTTTCCCAACGACAGTGGAACGGTCCATAAATACACAGGAGCACGAATGAAGAGAGAGAGAGAGANNNAGAGAGAGAGAGAGAGAGAGAGAGAGAGAGAGAGAGAAGCACGGGTTATAACGGTGCAAGAAACGGAAGCGCGAGGAGAGAAATTCGGTGCGCGGTGCTCGGTTCGAACCGCGCGCGGCTCGATCGATTCGAAAATTTAATTTGCGGCGAGGGAAAAAGCGCCATTAGATATCGTACATCGTTCCCGGTACCATCGTAGTCGGCCCGATAAGGAATTTATAATATCGTCCCATCGATATTATCGGCTCGCTTGTTGCCGATCGGTAAATACCCGCTTAAATATCGTCGTGTAAAGACGAGCATGGGGCCCGGAGTGTGAGAGCGTGCAGAATGGGGCGGCAGGTTAAATGAATTGCCATCGCGAGCCAGAGGCGGAGAGAACGCGATCACGAATAGCTTATCCGTGCAATAGCGCGAGTATCAGACAGAGAGAGAAAGAGAGAGAGGGAAGGAGGAAGGGAAAAAAGAAGAAAAAGTAGGAGGAGTAGGGGAAGAAAAAGGCAAAGAAAAGAGGGGAAAAGAGGGAAAGGAAACTTGGAGGGTAATTTAAAATCGAGCGAAGATTCGCGGCCTCGTGCGCTCGATCGCGCGTATATACATGCATAAGTGCTCGCCTTTAGCCACGGCTGACTCACGATCTCGGTGTATCCATTGGCGTGGGTAGCGGAGGTGGCGGAATTATCGTGGCGGGGCGATCGCGGAACTGGAATTCGACGAATCTCAACTTTCCGGATCGATTGCCGCGCCGCGTTCTACGAGGAAACGTGTGCGAGGATCGTGTGAAACACGGATCGATATATGCTTCTACATAGCCTGGTTGAAAGAGTCGTAGAAATTGGAATTGGAATTTTGAGGATGGGGAGGGGGAGGAGCATTTCAAAGGGACGATCGAGGGGTGAAAATTTAAAAGTGGTCGCTCAATTTTCCACGAATAATTTTCCACGCGATTCGATCGAGGATTAATAAAAATTGGGAGATCGATATTTCTAAGATTGGGAACGCGAGGAGAGCCGCGGCGCAACCCTGATCTCGGACAGCTCGTTGATCTATGCCTGCATAATGGTGGAACGCTGGCAAATACGCGTGCATTATCAGCGTGGATCGAAATGATCGTCTCGCGTCACGTCTTCATCCGCCACGGTCGACCTTAAACGCGCGCAACGGCTGACCTTGATTAACCCTTTACGAGGGGCCAGAGAGAGAGAGAGAGAGAGAGAGAGAGAGAGAGAGAGAGAGAGAGAACGGGAAGAAGAACGATTCCACTCGTTGGAGAAGTTGGCCGTGCCCCGCGCACATGGAACGCACGTAAGGCGGTTCGTGGTTCGCTTGCAAATGACTGAATCCCCATAAATCAGGTGTACGAATCGATAGTTGGACTTACGGGGGCCCATTAAGCGAGTGTGGTAATAAAGCTGTATCGGTAACGTTATTGGTGTCCTCTTAATAACAACCCGATCGAGGCTGAATAACAGTGAGAGGAGAGTTGAATTATGGGTGTAAAGCTCGCTCCACCCCTTTCTCGCTCCCCTGCCCCTCACGCGTGCCCGGGATGCGAGCGCGATACGCTCCGCGGTGGACAAATTGTCTTCGATATTCTCTCTCGATCGTTTCTCGATCGTCTCTCGATCGTCTCTCGATCGGTTCGGTTGACCTTTCGTCGGTATGGTTATGCGAGACTAGTCATGCGAGAACGATGACTGTGTGTTTCCGTGTTGCCGCATGAGAGAGTGCGAAAGGGACGCGGAATGATGAAGTTGGAAAAGAAACGTCGCAAATGGATCCACGCGTTGTTCGAGAATTAACCTACTGATACTTTTTACATTCTACAACAAGATATATACATATATGTATATACAAAGTTAAACAAATTAACACGTTATCCGTGAATTTAAAATAAATATCGGAGGGAGAAATTGTTCACGAGTAAAAAAAAAGAAGAAAAAAGAAAGGAAAAAACGACGTCGATATTTTTCAATTATTTCGATCTCCCATCGAGATATCCTTCTATATCCCCGCAGTTCCTAGATGGAATTTACGGTTCGGCCTGGGTTTCATCGGTTGTCGAACGAAGAGAATCGGACGGACGTTGACGCGAGAGCACGTCCAGTTGCCGCGGCGCGTAAATCATCCGCAATCGGATCTCGATTCCCGAAGCCAAGGGACCGCGCTTTTCTCCGTCGGAACGGTCGGGTGAAATGATGAAAGGGGGCGGGGGAAAAAAAGAAGAAAAAAAAGAAAAAAGAAAAAAGAAAAAGGAAAAAAGAAAAAGGGAACGAAACGAGGGGAGGGAATGGAAAAAGAGCGGAGGAAATAAATAAATAAAAAAAAAAAAAAAAAAAAAAAGGAAGAAGGGGAGAGGGGGAGGGAGGGGAGAAAGAAAGAAGAGCGGGCATCAGATACGATACGGAGGAATGCCCGGTTCTGTACGTGGCTCGGCAAGGATATAATAATAATATCGGCGGATGGGGAGAGGGGATATAGTCGTCACGACGGATCACGTCGAAGAAGTCGTGATCTTCCGTGGCGTCCAGGGACGGCGAGATCGCGCTTGTGATCAGTTCGCGAGGGAGTCGAACGAGCGGATCCTCGCCAGAACCTCCGCAGAAAGTTCTGGTGCGTGCAATGCGAAACGTGACAGAACCCGACCGCCCTTCGCCCGCCTTCCTAACAATACCCTCGTCTTCTACCGCTTCTTCTTCCACTCCCTCTTCGTCTCCTCCTCCTCCTCCTTCTCCTCTTCCAAGGCAAGCTCTTCCATCGCCTCTCCACCTCTTCTCTTAACCTCGTCAGGCTTCTTCTTCTTCTTCTTCTTCTTCTTCCTCTTCTTCTTCTTCCTCCTCGTCGTTCCAGACCTTCGAATCCCTTTTGCGCTCCCCGAGATCGGTCCAAGGCACGGCCAACCCGTCTTTCCCCCTCGCGCGACGAGGGAAGGCGAGGATAAACCAGGAATCTGTTGACGCCACGTTCAATTTCTCTGTGGAAGGAGGGGGAGGGGAGTTGTAAATCGGTGGTCGAATGGCGCGTAAACGTAAGCGGTCGTTGAAGGGTAGGGACAGGATATTAACCGACGCGGACTGACAGAGTTCACGTTGACCACGGTAGCTTACTTGCCGCGGCCGTTCCATTATTTATCGCCGGTGGATTTGTCAGGTATTATTCGCTGATTTATGCATCGCGTCGTAATTCATACGCGAGTAAACAAAGGGACGCGGCGGAGAAGCTTTTCGAATGGGCCACCCCCCCCCCTCCCCTACCGAACTGACGCGATCTTCTTCGCGAGATTAACGACGAGGGGAACGCGTTGCGAAGTCGCGTTCTCGCTTCCTCGTTTTCCGCGTCTCTCTCTCTCTCTCTCTGTCGAGGGGAACGATTTAATTTTCTACTCCGTTTCGAATTTGCTCCCTCGTACGAATAAATTAATCCGGTTTGAAAAAGAAATTTCGTCGAAGAGTTTTAATTTCGATAGAATATTGGAAGCGAGAAACTTCTTCTTCTTATTTCTCGTATCTACGATCCAAGATATTATAAAATATTGTGGCGATAATTTGCGATTCGCGGCGACGACCTCGTCGGTTCTTGATCCTGATCACGATCACGCACGCACGCCCACCTCGTCCCTTTCCTCCTTCGAATTACGACAGCGGTGGATTTTGCCGAGAACGCACGTGCGTGAGCTCGCATAACGAAATCGCCTCGTCGATTTGTCGCTTGAAACGCCTCGTCCGCTAACGCACGGCAAAATGCGAGAGCGGAGGTTCCTCGAATTCTCTTGGAATCGATGAATTCGACTAAAAAAGTAAAATAACTCGAGAATAAAATAATGTTATAATTCATAACATTCGAATCGTTCTATTTCCTCTCTGAATACTAAAATTCTAAAAATTAAAATTTTTCCACTCCTTGTTTCTCAATTATTTTTCGG